ATACAGATTTTTTAGATATATGCAATTTTTCATGAAATTGAATAAAATATGCAAAAAATGCATAGATATGCACTTTGCATATTTTCCGCCCTCTAATCATTACCTTTAATTGATCTAAAGGTCGGCATATTCATGTTCGTCTCACTAATCCAATAGTTTTAACGTTGTACCGGTTATTTTATGCAATTAAGTAGCTGTCTTCTACGGGATAAAGTGAAATTTTGTAGCAAAATTCCAATCGGATGGCGGGCAAAAAATAAGTGTCGCAGAGAAAATTCTAACGGTTTGGAAACCGGGCTAAATCTGTGTCTCCAATGAAAGCATATTTGAATAAACAATAAGGTCGACATGCCCAGCCCAGATCAAGTAAAAGAGGGGTGGTAAATGGGACAGTCAAACTGCCTAGTTTGCAGCCCACTCGATTTGTCATCGCACGTCTGCGGTCGCAAGTCCTAAGATGGCGGCTTTGAATTAATTGATTCATCGCCCTTTAGAATCGCAGCAAAACCGTCCCCCTCATCGAAAAAGACTATTCTAATAGCCGGTTTTGCTGACGTTCGGGATAATGTACGGCTTAATAATACAGTGCCTAAAAGGCAGGTCACTTTGTACAAAACTTCATTATTGTATTTGATCCTGTCACGAAAATACCTCTCACAAAATGCTTTCTTTTCATTGACTATCCTACGGAGCYTGCAAACTTTTCGGTCTGTATAGAGGTGGGCCACTGTTATCGATATCCATGTAAATGGAAATGTGTGGAAATCGTTGCAGTTTATATACATAGGTATTTTTAACTACAAAATTCAGATAAAGAAAAATGTCACTAGCGAAACAGTTGTAAACTTCGTGGCGTTTATTCAATAATCAAAGTACATGGTTGTAATAAAACATTTTCACAGTAGTCGATTTCAACGTATCGACACATCCCTACTAATCAGTGCCCACTTCTGGTTTAAAGAGGGTAAAATCGACACAGCTGGGATCCTAAGCCGAGTATTCAATTTATTATGTGTGCATATGTCAGAACTCAACCATTGCAGACCCAACATGCGACTACTGCATTGTTACCATTTGGTGTGGTATTTATTTTTTGAGCAAAAGTTTATATTTCGATTTTCTGCCGATAATCTGATTTCTGTAAAGAAATCTCTGTGGGACGCACAGTACAAAAAAAGCTCGATTTCGGAAATTCGGGATGAAGATGTCGATTCTCATATAATATATAAGCATTTCACAATTACAAATTAGAAATACCTTGAAATCAGGGGCGGATCCAGCGTTAAAGTCAGGGGGGGGG